GAGGGTTCTTTCTTTCCATCCATTCAGCTTCTTCTTCAGCCTCGTTTTAATCTCTTCAAACAGTTCCTTCTTCGATCTCCCTGCTTCGGTAGCTAGGCCTAAGTATTTGTTATGCTTGCTTACTCGTGTCATCCCCAGCACCCCTCCAATCTCCAGCTGACGGTGCATAGAGACATATGCACTAAAGGACACGTCAGACTTCTCGAAGCTGACTTTCTGCCTCGACTCTTTTTCATAGTCAGTCAGTATGGTCCTCGGTGCTTCACTCTCCTGGATCGTGGACCTAGCAAAAAAGATACTGTCGTCAGCAAAAAACAAGTGTGAGACAATCGGTGCCCCCGGCGCCGGTTGAAAGCCATGGATTTTCTTTTCTCGCACCGCCAGGGCGGTGTAAGCTGAGAAACCTTCCGCACACATGAGAAAAAGATAGGGTGACAGGGGGTCCCCTTGACGGATCCCTCGGCTGGGCACAAAGCTAGGGGACTGATGGCCATTGATAAGTGTCGAATAAGTAACCGAGCTAATACAGAGCATTATCACCCGCACCCATTTTTCTTCGAACCCCATCTTTCGCATAACCCCAGCCAGGAAATGCCATTCCACTCGGTCATAAGCTTTAGCCATGTCAATCTTGGCTGCCATAATTCCCGACCCTTTAGTTTTCTTCTTCTTCTTCATCGAATGGAAACATTCAAAGGCAGCCATGACATTATCCGTAATGAACCGCCCTGGAACAAAAGCACTCTGCTCCTGCGAGATAACTTTATTAAGGAGTCCCTTCAGCCTGTTCGCCAATACCTTTGCTGCAATTTTATACAGGACGTTACACAAGCTGATCGGTCTGAATTCCTTCGGGCTAGAAGGACACTTCACCTTGGGGATTAAGGCGATCAATGTATGGTTCAATCCATTAGGCATCTCCTCCTTTTCTATGATATCTTTCACCGTCTAGACCACATCATCACCGACGATATCCCAGTATTTCCTGAAGAAGAAAGCCGACAGACCATTCGCCCCCGGTGCCTTGCGTCTTCCCATCTTCTTGAGCGCGCTATATATCTCCTCGCTATCAATCGGGCTAAGGAGGGCTTCATTATCCTAACTACTGATCGTTTGGGGGATGGCATCTAACACTGGAGTACACGTCGGGATTTAACCTGCTGCAAAGAGTAGCCCATAATAATTATCAAAACACTCAAAAAGTTGTTCCGTGCCTTTATACCATCTACCCGAGTCATCCTGAAGTTTACGGATCATGTTTCTGCGTCTTCGGGCGGACGCTTTTTTATGGAAAAAATTGGTGTTCTTATCACCCTCACCCAACCAGTCTGACCGCGATCTTTGTTTTCAGTAACTCTTCTCATTATTTTCCACTTCAGCGAGTTCATCCTCAAGCTCCCACATTTGGTTCTCCACCATTGTGCTCCGCGACATCTTCTCCAGGGCTCTCATTGCTTTTCGGATCTTAGCTTTCTGATGGCTGAAGTTCGGGAAAGTAGCACTGCTCCATTCTTCCAGTTATGCCCTGCAGGCATTGATTTTATTCATGATCTGATTAGGCCCATGAGACTGCCAAGCCTCCATCACCACCTCTTTACTCGCTTCGTGCTTTGCCCAGAAAGGGTCGAACAGAAGCTCCATCCCCACTTCGGATCTTCATCCTCCTCACCGCGAGTATCGCAGATGATTGGACGATGATCAGACCTCGTCTTATCGGAGTGATGAACCCGAGAGCTAGGAAAAGAGGCCACCCAAGCATCCGAAGCTACAAACCTGTCAAGCCTCTCCTCAATAAATCCCCCCCGTTCGTCTCCTGTTTTCCCACGTGAAGGGGTACCCCTCAAATCCCAAATCTCTTAGCCCTGAATCAACAAGCCCATCCTGGAAGGCCACCATGTCTGCATCCGCCCTCGTGGATCCCCCTCTCTTTTCCTCCGCCGAGAGAATTTCGTTCAGGTCCCCGCCCCAAAGCCAGGGACCGTCCCATTGAGTGGAGAGTAAACGAAGGAGCTCCCAGGTCTTTGACTTTTCCCCTGCACCTGACCACCCATATATTCCTGTGAAGCGCCAGCTTGGGGCACCCTACTCGACTATCCTAGTGTCAATATAATGCTCGTCAGTTCACATAACATTCATGTTAATCTCCTCCAACCACCAGATGCTCAGACCACCCGCTCTCCCACCTCTCGAGAGGTCAGTCGGCCAACAATCACCTCCGTGGTATCCTAGTTCCTTCTGTGTGACTTCATTCTCTTCTTTAGTTTGCTTGGTCTCCATTAAGAAAACCACCTGCGGGGAGTAGAGTCGCAACAACGACTTAAGCCCCTTAACTGCACGCTTGCTCCCCAGCCCGCGGCAGTTGTAGCTAAGGATCCTCATTAGTTTCCCAAAGGGGATAGGTTCCCCGCACCATTATTAGCTTGTCCCACTGGTATATTCAAGTCATTCGCACTAAGGGGAGCCTCCATAGATTTTAATGGGTCTGGCGGATTTGCTTCGTGATTAAAGTCCACCCCACAATTTGTGATCATCTCCCCACGTTCATTCTGCATGGCCTGCATGCTTTGCCTCCCTCTCGCAATATTTAGTGACCACAAAATTTTCCTTCTACTTAGTTCCCCCCTGACCCGGCGTCCCCAATTTCACCCCAGCTATGGACTGAGCCTGCTTCACTTTACCATTCTTCTCGACAGGTACTTTACCTGGTGCCCTACACCTTCCACCGTCATAGCAAGGAAAACTTCACTCGGAGGCTGATCCCCTTCCAGCGGAACATCAGGAGGAGCTGGCTTGCTATGAACAGGTTCACTTGGTTGTCCATTTTCCTCCATGGTGTTGAGAACATCGAAACGTGACCCCAGCTTCTTAGGTGGTTCTTTCCCCATCCCCGTCCGAGCCTTTTCCTCTAGCTGACGACGAGGCTTAGGCTTCTTTTTCGCAATCATCCATTCGCCGTACGGTGCATCAGGTTCATGCACTGCCGGGGCTGCGGGCACAAGAACTGGTAGCTTGATCGACCCTAACAGGTTTACCAATGCGTTGACCTATCTTCATAACCGCCATAGGGTGGAAATAATGGATCGGGTTCTCCAGAAGACGAGCCCAAACCAGTGTATGGGAAATCTCATGATCGTATGGATCAAAATCGCTCGACCAAGGGTGAACAATGAGATAGTTATCTCCTATGAGCCACGGCCCTCCCGTAACCGTCCTTTCATAATCAATGCCACTGGTGAAGCGCACAAGAAAATAATCGTTCTTTACAGAAGTCACTTGTATTCCACCCGCCTTTTCCCATATGCTTTGCAGTCTCTTGAGCATAAGTGTATAGGAGACGGATCTTCTCAAAGCCTTCACCACCAGGGCCGATCGCCACGCTCTTTTACATAAACGTTCCTCCTTTGCTGTGAAGTAAATCGGTGGGCATTTAGGGTCCTCTTCTCTCCCACAACCTTCCTCTAGGCCATCCTGCCTAATGGCCCCCGCAGCATCTTCTGAATCTGAGTCAACTATATACCATCTTCATCGCGTTCATTCTCCGCCATCGACATCACAACAGTCGCCTTTGCCCTCTTCTTCGTTTTTTGCGATTCCCGATCGCCCTTCGGGTCTGGAGAGGACGAGTCCGGAGGAGGACGACGCTGGCCAGCCGTCATCCCATCTGTCATCGGGATGTCAGGATCATCCTTGGACGGTGGTGCAGCCACCGCCGCCATGGAAAAGATTGAAAAAACCCTAATTGGCGCTCTCGACGTCAAAAGATCGCCCTCCGACAAAGCCGGAGCTCTTTTGATCTCCTTTTTTATCAAGTTATCTAGGATTAGTTTTGGTGGGCTCAAAGGATTGCTTCTTTGCATTTGCTTAATTCCTATTGGGTCGTTTTGGTAACCGGAATGAAAAATGTGAAGTTTAAATTCCCAAATGTAAGGTTTTAGCCTAAAGTGCGAGAATTGAAAAAGATAGAGATGTGGTCTGAGTTTGTTTTTTTAAAGATAAAGATGACATATGTTTGATTTTTTAAATTAGGTGATACCGAAAGGATTTGAACTTGTAACTTTTAGGTTCAAAACTACTAATATTCTCACTAGGTCAAGCCTTTATCGTAGGTGTCTGAGTTTTCAATTACCAGAAAATGTGATAATTTGAACAAAGTCTCTATTCATTATTTTGGACACGTCAACCATAAGATTTTAAGTTAAATGATGCATTTGTCTTAAATTGTATATTCAAATCTCTCGTCCAAACGCTCCATTAGCTTCGAGACAATTTCCTTTTACTGGCCGATACTTTGTTGTCATTTGTATGTCAATGTCATACATAAAATAATCAATTAGTACAATCTATAGCGTCAACAACCAACATACTAAACTGATACATAAAATGATTTCCAAACCAAATCAAGCAATACCAATTAACCGAATCATACCGATGAATCAAGTGCCCCTTACTTCCACATGTCTATTATTATTATTATTATTATTTGCCATTCGATGACTCCAAGAAATGTCTAATGGTTAATGAATAATGTAGGCTTAATTGCAAGTTTGATCACTCGAATTGCTTAAAAATTTCACGTTTGCCACTCAAATTGATTTATTCCATTTATAGTCACTCGAATTAGTTGAACAATCCAAGTTTGGTCACTCTCCGTTAACCTCCGTTAGACTCCGTTAGTGACGACCGTTAAGTGATGACGTGGCTAACATAAAGACACAGTCAGCATATTTTAACATTAAAAAATGATGACCCGACCCGCCAGCTCAGCCTTACCCGCCCTATAAGCCATTCTTGCCCAACCAGCAAACCAACCCAATTAATTGACCCTAAACCCAAACCCGAGACCCAACCCCCCCTGAAAAGTAAATCGAAAACAGATGGTTAGGGCGATTCGGCGTCGGATGGAAACCCAAACAGAGAAGTGCAAGAAAAACGTGGCTCACCCGATCGGAGTCCTCGTCGGGGCTCCAATCCGAGCCGAGGCCACCGTGTCTTCGGGCGATTCAACGCTTGCAGCGGCGGTGTGGCAATCTCCGGCGCCAATCAATTGCAAGATCTAGAAGGAAGACGGAGGAGCGGAGCAGAGGTCGCAATCGGCCAGCCCGTGCAAATCCCCCCATCATCGACGGCGGCGCGAGGCCAGATCTGTCCGCGAGCACTTCTGTAAACCTCAAACCTCGTTCATCCTTTGTCAGAGCTATCATTTTCCAACTCATCTTTGAGCAGAGCTTTTCAGCAAATACGATTAACCCTAAGTTAATTTCACTCATACTGATTGATCATCTAGAAAACAAAAGGGATGATACACTTGACATGAGGAGGGAAATCATCAAACTTAGAGAGGTACCACTCTCTTGTGGCTTTGCTCCTTCCCATCAGGTAGAGACTTGTCCCAACCATCAAAATTCCATTCGAAGAAAAGGGCTGGAGCTGGATTGAATTGGAACTGGGAGAAAGTACATACCTCGAAAACCCTTTTGAAGAAATGTACGGCGAGGGCGGATTCGACCAGGAAGAGCCTAGAAGACGAAGCTCCGCCACCGCCATGGTGGAGGAGGAGCAGGGAGGACAAGGCGACGAGGAATGCCGGAGTGCAGGCCACAAGCATCCCGGTTCTGCTGGGGAGGGAGGACCAGGACGGCGACGACGAGGTAGAAGCGGATAGTTGGGCGGCGAACTTGGAATACTTCATGTGGTTTCCTCGGAGCTCCGACAAGCCGGCGTTTCCCAGGGAGACTACACCCACCACCGACATCGTGGAGACCAACAACGACGGCGGCGGGTCTCGGGTTTGGGTTTAGGGTCAATTAATTGGGTTGGTTCGCGGGTTGGGCAAGAATGGCTGACAGGGCGGGTAAGGCTGAGCTGGCGGGTCGGGTCGTCGTTTTTTAATGTTAAAATATGCTGACTGTGTCTTTCTGTTAGCCACGTCATCACTTAACTGTCGTCACTAACGGAGGTTAACGGAGAGTGACCAAACATGAACTGTTCAACTAATTCGAGTGACTATAAATGGAATAAATCAATTTGAGTGGCAAACGTGAAATTTTTAAGCAATTCGAGTGACCAAACTTGCAATTAAGCCGAATAATGTATAGCCTTTTGGACATTTCATATTTTCATTAGCTATATGCTAAGGTAGTGGACTGGATCTGACTGAGTACACAAAAAATGAAAAAATGTTTGGGTTGTCTGATTCTCCACTAAGTCGCCTTTGGTCCTTTCCAAACACTGGGGATCTGTGTCCTATGTGTATTTCAACATCTAAATTTGAGCTTAGTTCACCAAAATCCCTCCACTTTCGTAACCGTTTTCCCCCCCTCTCTCTAGGGTTTCAGGAAAACTCAAGTGCTCTGTTTCCAGAGTCCTCCACAGCTCGATCTAACGTTTTTTTTTTTTTTTTGCCCCTCTTCTCTCTGTAACATCACATTTTCCGCCGATTCGTGCCAAACCCCTTTAGCCGTCTTCATAAAACTCGCCTCGTTCCCTTCCTTCCACCAGATGTGGAGGCTTTCTCGTTCAGCTGCAAGTTTTGCATGCCCATTATTCCTCTTCATCTGAAATCCAATTGGGTTTCGTCCTTTCTTGGCGCTGCTCAGTTGGCTTCGCTAGGGTTTCAAATAAAGTTTCCGCCTTTTTGGTTAAAGGAGCTTTGCTCGAGCTGTTCTTCAGCAAATTGGGCCAGCGCCGGCGCCTTTGTTGTCAATTCGTTTGTTCGAGCTGGTTTGGGAGGAATTAAGTTTGAAGGCAGGGGGAGGTTGCATTTTTGGTGTGGGGGTGGAGATGAATAGCGTGTTCAGTCAACAGATTCTAGCCGACAAGCTCTCCAAGCTCAACAGCACCCAACAATGCATTGAAAGTATCCTTCTTTTTATTCCTTTCTCTCCATCTTCTTCTGAGTTTAGAGGTTAAGCTTTTCTTCTAGGAAGGAATTGGATCCAGAGGATAATTTTTAACGCCGTGTTTGGTGGATGTTCATGTTGGCTTGTTCGCCTCTTGTTGGATTATGGGTTGAATTGAATTGCACTTGTGATGGTTCTGATTTCTGAATTCTGATGTTGAGGTAGTTCCGTACCATCGTCATCTCCCATGCTTATGTCAGCGTTCTTGTGTTAAAGTTTTGATTTTTGAACAGTTCATGATGTTTGAATCAGTGATATGATGCGAAAGCTGTTTGAAGTTTCATCGTTATATTTCCGGAGAGACAGTGTTAGCTTAACTACGTTCTGTAGCTTTGTCACATTGGTGCATATTTCACCAAACCAAAGCCGAACTCGTTGTAGCGACATGGGACAAACAGTTCCACGTCTCGGAGATGGTTCAGAAAGTCCCTCTACTTTATCTAGCAAATGATATCTTACAGAACAGTAAACGTAAAGGCAATGAATTTGTGACCGAGTTCTGGAAGGTTCTCCCCTCAGCTCTCAAGGACGTTTCTGCAAAAGGTGATGATCGTGGCAAGACTGTTGTCTCCAGATTGGTAAGCTTACGATTCACTCTTTACATACTGAATTCTGCTTCCTGCATGATTAACAGTTTGGATACACTGGAAAAAGGAAACATCATCATAAGAACCTTCATTAGTAGGTTGATAGTTTCGTGAATCTGAACGCTATTGTAGCTGGGGCTCAAATAATTTCTTTTCATACTAATTAATGAGTTATATTGGACAAATACCTAAAAAATGGAAGAGAAGGAAAGTGCATTCACAGAAGGTGAACGGGCATGTTTATGGACAATTCAGCTTTCGACGAACTATGAACTACTGAAAAGAAGGCAGAATGAGCTGGTTTGTCTAATAACTTAAGTTCGATGGTGGCCAGGTTAATATATGGGAAGAAAGGAGAGTGTTTGGAACACATTCTCGAAGCCTTAAAGAAATCATGCTTGGTGATGAGACTCTACCAGACTTGGAGTTCAGTAAAAAGCGTTCACGCACGGTCAAGATTTTCAAACGAGATTCCAGATCTATTAAAACGGTAAGGAAAAGTTCCTTAAATGTTTTTATTTAGGTTGCCCTTCAACCAGCTCAAGCATTTAATAGCTTTCCTATCTTGTCTTTTTGTTCCTTTAAGTTCTCCGAATCGAAATGTCTCTTATTTTTGTATCATCGTGTTGAAAACCAGAAATTGCCCATTGGTGGCGCTGCCGAGAAAATTGTATCAGCATTCCACTCGGTTGACAGTGGGCGTTCCAAAGAAGAGGCAGAGATGAGTAACTGCAAATCTGTGGTCAGTCGAGTCAGGAAGATGGAGAAAGATGTTGATATTTCCTGTAGCAACGGTAAGCCAAGATGTTCGGATTAATTGCTGTGGGAAAATTGGGATATATGATTATATAGTTAATTATTTCGCCTTACTTCTATTCAAGTGCTTCCAAAGCTCCTTGATGTTCAGATTGGGAGTCTCTGAAGCATAACAACTTTTGGCTCTTCAGGAAAAGATCCCAAACGTACAAGTTTGGCGAAAGAACTAGAGCAGGAAGACACCCTTCTGAAGCAATGTATTCAAAAACTTAAATCCGTTGAAGCCAGTAGAGCTGCCCTTGTCTCTCAGTTGAGGGAAGCTCTAAATGACCAGGTTGGGAGAACTTTTTAATATAACATGCTTATCTGTGATGGTCTATTAACTTTATGTGCATGCTATAAATTTTTGGTGTCATCTAGATGCTCATATTCTGCCTTTCTCATTTTGCTTGTTCAGGAATCTGAATTGGAGGTTGTGCGAACTCAGATGCAGGTATGTAACTGATGGCCTATTTGAAAATGTTGGTTCTTTGGGTGTGTTTGCTTAGGCTTAAAAAGAAGTTACTCAATAATGTGTGGGCTTAAATACTGAAGCAAAGACACTACTTTAACATGGTGCTACTTGTGTGTAGTTTTGACCACTGAGGGTTATTTTATTGAGAATTGAGTTGGTTCCTATTGCTAATCTCCAGGTAGCTCAGGCACAGGTGGATGAGGTCAGCATAATGATAAAGCGGCTGAACGACGAAGACTATGTGCCCAAAGCCACAACTGCAACCCAAATAGAAGCAGATACAAATGGCAAAGCAGGACACACTCCAAAGAAAACTGCAGCAGCTATTGCTGCCGAGGTTGCAGATAAGCTTGCAGCCTCAAGCTCCTCTCAAATGATCATGCATTCTGTTCTGTCTTCATTTGCTGCAGAAGCAGCAAAGACCCAAGGTTTGAAGTCAACACCAGTTAGCTCTTCGGTCAATGATTCCGTGCCAGAACCTGCTATGTTTATGTCGGCACAAAAACCCCTTTCTGCTGATCCCTCGAACCATGCATACCACACCATGCAGAATCAGGTACCGAGCTCTCAGTCTCAGTTTCACGTGCTGCCGAATCCTTCCTCTCAGCAGTACTTGCAGCCTCCTGGAGGGATTGTTACTCCCTACGGATATGGTAGCATTAGTTCCTTGCCACCAGGACCACCGCATCCACCTCGTCCCTATATGATGAGTCCAATGGTGCCTATGACTCAGCAACCACCGTCGCAAGTTCCAATGACTCAACAGCAGCAAATAACCTTAAGTCAGCAGCAAGCTGCTGCTGGTCCTCCTAGTTTTAGACCCTTGCAGCCGCCTGGTATGGTGTATTATGGCCATCATCCATCATCCCATTCTCAGTGACGACAATAAGGTCAGTTTGTTTTAGGTGTGTAGGCTGTATAATCTATCTCGGGGCCCTGTTTTCCCTTGTAACTGAGAAATTTCTTGGTATAAGATAGTATTGTTGAGATTAGAACATCTGACGAAGATTGATCAACATTTTTTTTTCATATAGCTACCATTAGCAGGGCAATCTTAGTGATTCAAAGTGGAGGTGGCAAATGAATCGTACTGATGTGAGCCCATGGGTTTGTATAGGTGGGTCGTGATTGGGTCAAAATGCGTTTGTGAATTTATAGTTAGGATCAAATGAGTTTTGCTTATTGTATGAAGAGTATTTCAGTCATTTGTCAAGTGTAAGGGTTGCTGGGTAAGTTTTAGATTTTCGGTTCTCAGTCATAGTTAGATCAGTTTGTTAATAGGAAAAGGATGAACTGAATTGACAGGATGGAAGTATGTGGCAAATTAGATTCTCAAAGTGTGAAGAGATGTGTTATTACTGCAAATCTTTTGAAGGATTAGTAGTTTAGTACAGGAATCAAACAAACAGGCAAGTGAATATGGTTACACAGTAGAGAGGCATCAATATCAGGTAGTGCTGCTGTTGATAGGTGAAATTCGGTTGATGATAGCATCTTTGATACGAAGCGGGAGATGGTGCAAGATGGCCATAATGGTCGAGTAACGACCCGACGAGAACCATGCTGGTGGATCCTTTCTGAGTATGGCAGCTACTGTATCTTTCGCGAATTTTTCTGCAGGGGTTGATTTGAGGCTTTGGGAGAGGTATGCCCTCTGCCTGATCGCAGCCTCGAATGGTTTGTACAGTTGCCACTCGGGCATCTTGTTGTAGTTAGCTGTTGCGGAGTTCCCGATGTTTGATCTGATGGCTCCTGGAACGACGTTGATCACGTCGATTCCCAGCGGCTTAAGTTCCAGCCTGCATTTTATAAGTATCGAAATCAGGTGTCGTCAAAGGTGACAGGGAAATGATGTCTCTTGGATTAGTACCGTGTCAAGAATTTGCAGTTTCCAGCTTTTTAAGTTCGAATGCTCAAATGCAGGCCAGTTAGAGGAGGAAAGCAGCAATCCAACCTACTGAATGATTTGAAATTCGTATGCTCCAAATCCAAGTCTTGGTTTAAAGGTTTTACCGTTGGTATCATGAACTATTTCCTAAAGTAGCACTTAACAATAAAAATAAATTGATATCACCATTATTAAAAAAAAACCTAAATATTTCGTATCCACCACTTTAACACCTGTTTCAGTGACTATATACCCACTTTAAGTTACTTAACAATTCACTATTTTCCACGGCTAACAATAGGGTTGGATTGGATGGATTTCAGTCTCAAAATGATTCACGTGTTTATTATTAACAAATTGATACAATTGTGACTAAGATCCATCCACAATTTTCTTAGGGTTGGATTGTGGGTTAACTCACAAAAGCAATAATCCGACTAGCAATTAGCTAGGTTTATCAATATTTTTAAGAAAATTCTCGTAAATTAGGAAAACAAGAGTCATTCAAACACTTTGCACTTTGGCTATCCGCCTAAATACTTGAACATGTACATGTAAAGTTTTTTTTACTACTTATAATAACTTTTTCGTTGGCCACTTTAAATGAAGTATTAATTGACAAAGAAAACAAAGTCACTCAACCACCTATGCCTTGAGGTTCACGACTCTTTACAGCCTGTTTGGATATAATTCCGTTAGAAAATGAATTCCATTTCTTGTGAGAATCTGAATTCAATTGAAAATTTATTTTCAGAGTTTTTGTTTGTAACAAATACTAAAGTTTTAGAAACGATTTCATGTTTTTATGTTTGGAGGAAGATGTAAATAATTTCTTACAAGTGTTTATACAGTAATACCCATATATTGGCCAAAATTCGTATCATTATTAATGACTTTCTTGTAAAGATGTGCCCGAATTTGAGTGGGGTCCATCAATTCCATTTCTCCTTACAACAATTCCAACCACTCTTAGTGGGAATTATAATTTCCAACTTTTTACATCTTGGAATTCCCTTTCCTATTTATTTTTTACTTCCAAACATGAGAATTATAAAAAAGTATAAGAAATTGAATTCCATTCCCTAAAATTTTAACCTATCCAAACAGGATGTTAAGTGTGCGGATTTCAATTATTTGGCAAATGTATCAAATCTTTCCTTACTTCATCAAGCAATCATGCAAAAAATTCTTTACTTTTTATGCCTTTAGAAGTTGATGGTTAGTGCATTGCCCTAATATGATAACTATTTAATAGTATAAGCAAAAAAATATCTATTTTTCATGTGAAAAGAGGATGACCCGCAGTTCACTCATCACCCACTCAAAATAAGTACGGTTTGCAAAATTCCCAGCCATCCATTTGTCAATCTTCCTACATTTGTAATCTTCCACACATTTTCATGCAAATCCAAATGCAATTTGCGAGAACAAACCTCAATGTGTCAGTCAGTGCATGAATTGCTGCTTTAGATGCGGTATATGTGCCGGCCCAAGCGGTGGGACCCATCACTGAAACGCTTCCGAGGTTGACAATTTTACCCTTTCTACGGGAAGCCATGTGTGGAGTGACGGCTTGAACCATCCTCATTGTCCCTACACAGAAAGGAAGTTAAGTTTGGTCTCTCTCAAAACAGAGCACCCGATACAATTGCATTGCTGAAGTTTTTAATGTCGTAGTCAGAATTTCATTCAAGAGGATGTATTAAAAAAAGATTACATAATAATTTTTGAACAACAACTCATGATGCAGTCTCGTGCCTCATATTTTATGAAATTATTTTGGAACTACATAATTGTTCGAAACGATCAAGACTGCTTTTTTCATTTTTATCTCAGAACGACATGATCAATCACAATTTCGTTTCACTCGATTCGAAGGCTGGTCGACCGCTTCATTGCATGATATTTAATATCAATGTGTGTATTGACAACATATAGTAGCAAACTACACACAGTTTTACAAGCAAATACATCCACTGGGAACCAATTTCCTCTTCCGACTATCGTTATCGTAAAAAAAGTCACAGATCAATCTTAATAGCACCATTCTGTTTATGAGGAAACAAGCATATCAAGGCTGCACCTGTCATTGCACTTGAGAGATTATGGAACCCATTCTTCTCTCTGTTTACTATGTGAAGTAATAGAGCAGTAAGCCAGGAAGTTGGCTGATTCGACAGTAACCCACACGAACATCTGCTAAGAGCCTAATACCTAACCACAAGTTTAAACTTAAAAACCATGGATGAATGCTTTGTCGCTCATCGCTATTTCGATCTATGCTGATCTTAGTCCGTAATATCTAATACCAATTAACATTTGAAATTCAATTAAAAAAAAAAAACACATGTATCTAGTACCAAATATCGACAAATTCGATTACTCACACCGGTACCTAAATTCCATCCATCCCACATAAGCAAATTGAATATATTGCAAAAATTGGGCAAATTGGGTTTCCAGGTATCCAAAAAAAATCTTACCGAATACGTTTGTGTCGAAGGTACTCTGGACAGCAGAGAGGGGGATCTCAGCAAGAGGGCCGACGCACTGAACGCCGGCGTTGTTGACCAGAATGTCCACTTTCCCATACTTCCCGACGACGTCCGAAACCACCCGCTCGACGCTTTCCGCCGACGAGACGTCCAGTTCCTGGAGATAGAATCTCGGATCCTGATCCAGGTCCCGCATCGTGCTCTTCGACCGGCTCGTGGCCACAACCCGGCAGTCGTTGGCGGCGAACTCTCGAGCCAGGGCGTGGCCGATGCCTCCTTGTGAGCAGCCGGTGATCAGAACCACTTCCCGTCCGGCCGAATCCATCACCAGATCCTTCTTGTGGGGTTTTTTTTGCGGGGAATTAAAGGGGAATTTCCAGATGGGGAAGTTTTCAGGTGAGAAGGTGGGCCGTCTGGAATAAATAGAGAGAGATCTGGGTTCAATTCAATCTGTTGCGGCAGCCTTTTTTTTATGGAGGGTCAGTGAGTTTTTTATTTATTAAATTATTTGAAGGTTGGTTGATTGATTGACAGACTGACTGTAGGATCTGCCAGGCGTCCGATGAGAATATCGTGGCACCTTTCCCGTGGTCCCATCTGGGCACTGTGAGGAGATTTTTTTTTTTTTACAAAAGATAATCATATATTGATCAAGAAAAAGTAGTTATATCCTCGACACCAGCCAGGTCCGGAAATTAAAAGAAAGACCTATAGTCGTCGACACCAGCCAGGTCCGGAAATTAAAAGAAAGACCTATAGTCGGGAACAAAGAGAGGGCTTTACGAGCCATCAAATGAGCTTACCCTATTACTACGCCGACCTACAAATCTAACACTAAACCCAGGATTACCGGAAAAAATCTGAATAAGCTCATCTAGCATAGCACCCAAGAGACTATCCCGAGCCTCCCTGCGATTGATTTTATCAATGATAATCTTTGCATCCCCTTCAAAGGTAATGTCCGCCCAACCGAACGACTGACACCACAGAACAGCCTCCCGCAGTGTGACTAATTCCACCACCAAGGGGTCCTCAATCCATGGAAACTGCATCCCCTTCACTAACAGAACTTCCCGATCCTGAGTGAGGAGGACTAGACCTCCCGCCGAGTGGGAACCACTCCGGACAGCCCCATCCCACATGCAAATAACTCCTTGCCCCCCAACCGCCTCATGATGGATGGGAGCATCCTGGACACCACAGGGGGCCCTATCCACCGGAAGTCGGCGCATCAGGGCAGAAAACCCAAACTGCTTGCCTTCAAAGACAACCCAATTTCGAGAACGCCAAATACGCCATAAGACAACCACCACCGCCATAATAACAGTAGGTTGATTAATCAAAGCCATCAGCCGTTTGAGGAAAAGGGGAAAAGTATGGCGGGGAAGCCCCTCCCCAAAGTGAGCTAACCCAGCATAATCCCAAATAGCCCGAGCTACTGGACAGTCAAGAAAAAGATGTTCCATGGTTTCCGATTCTGCCCAACACACCGGGCATGTGGGATGAACCAGGACCTTCTTCTCAATAAGGGCCTCAGTAGTAGGCAGAATCCGATTCAGAATCTGCCAGAGGAAGACCTTTAACTTGGGAGGGATATTGGCTTCCCACTACCGAATCCAGCTCGCCCTATCCATCCAACTGACCCCAGATTTCCAACCCCCCGACGCTTATCAAGAGAGACTGCTAAATGATATGCCGACTTGACCGAGAACACCCCATCAGGGGAATCATGCCAAATTAACCTATCCTCTATCGAATGCCGTGGAAGAGGTATAGTTTTGATGGCCCTGCATGTAGGTGGGTCAAACCATTGGCTAAGAGCTTGATCATTCCATCTCCCCTCCCTATGACAGATTACCTCCTCAACCTTCAGGTCACCCTCCTCCGGTAATACTCGAGGATTAAACCGAGGAGGGTCCAACTGGAGAGAAGGAATCCAATTAGAACGGAGGAGTGAGGCAGTTTTCCCATTCCCAATTTGCCACCGCAAGCGCTTCTCCAGCAAATCCCTACCATACAGGATACTTTGCCACCCCCATGAAGGACGAGAACGGGCCGTAGCAGTAAGAAACGAGCCACCTGGAAAATATTTACCTTTATAAACATGAGCCAGCAAGGATTGAGGTTCCATAAGAATACGCCAGCCAATTTTGGCTAATAAAGCTTGATTAAATTGCTCAAAGCGACGGAACCCCATCCCACCCTCATGCTTACTACGACACATATTTCGCCAGGACATCCAATGAATACGACCCTGATCCACAGCCTCCCCCCACCAGAACCGGGCCACATGTTTGTCCAGTAGCCGACACAAAGAGGCAGGAAGCTTAAAGCAGGACATCACATGTAACGACAACGCCAAAGCGATAGATTTTATCAAAGTCTCTTTTGCCGCCCAAGACAAGGTCCTTTGCTTCCACCCTTGAAGGCGATCTAATAATTTTTCCTCGAGATACCGGAAGGTGGCCATTTTTGAACGCGCGATCAACGTGGGTAATCCAAGATACTTATCATGCACCCCTACCGCTCCCACTCCCAAGATAGCATCCAAAAACTCCTGGTCCGCACGGACAATGTTTCTACTAAAACAAACAGCTGATTTGTCCAGATTCACCCTTTGGCCACTCAGTTCCTCATACTCGTTCAACATCTCTATCAAATTTTCACATTCCTGGAGGGTACCTCTCAAAAACAGATAAGAATCATCAGCAAAGAACAAATGAGAGATACGGGGCGCACGAGGAGCCACTTTTACCCCCTCTAAACGTCCCTCCCGGATAGCTTGCCGCAGGAGAGCCGCAAAGCCCTCCGTACAGAGCACAAATAACAGCGGGGATAAAGGGTCCCCTTGCCTTAATCCTCTGGAAGAGGTGAAAAACCCAGAGGGGGTACCGTTCATGAGGACAGAGAAAGAAGCGGACCGGAGACATTCTTGAATCCAACCTCTCCAGGTAGAGTTAAAACCCATCTTATCCAAAATAGCAAGAAGAAAGGACCATTCGACCTATCATAGGCTTTTTCCATGTCAACCTAGAGCCATGTATCCTTTCTTGCCCCGTGTTTTGATTTTCAAATAATGCATTAACTCATTACCCAAGAGTATGTTCTCAACAATCTGTCGGTCCCTAATAAACGCATTCTGCCCCTCCGAAATAATTTGTGGCAAGAGACCAGCAAGCCGCTCTGCCAAGATTTTGGTAATAATTTTATAAACGATGTCGCAATGCTAGCCTTACCATTCTCGTCTGTAATCTAATCACCAGTCTCACTACGAAGGCCCTCCACAAAATTCTTCTTCCGCCGGGTTCTGGTCACTGTATGAAAATAGGCTGTATTTTTATCACCCTTTTTCAGCCAGTGGACCCGAGACATCTGTTGCCAATACTCCTCCTCCGCCTCCCACTGGTGATTTAATTCCGTCTCCAACTTTCTGACCTCATCACAGTTAATAGGTTGGCTAAGCTTAACCCTGTCAATTTCACTCTAGAGAGTCCTGATATTCCGCAGGGAGTTCGTGGTGCCAGCCCTGCTCCAATCATAGAGCAGATGGCGGAGCCTTTTAAGGCGCTCCCAAAGACAGAACATGGGAGTCCCATGAATCTCCTCTTTCCAGACATAGCCAACCATAGCCCTTACTTCTGGGTTTTCCGCCCACCGGGCATCAAACCGGAAAAGAGGGCGACTATTGCGAGCGTAGGGCTTGTCCGAGAGGAGGAGAGCTCGGTGATCAGAGCCCTGGTCTGTGAAATGCTTCCCCAAGGTTTCTGGGAGTCGGTCAACCCATGTCTGGGAGCACAGATCCCTATCCAGCCTCTCACGAATGCAGGCCGCACCCATCCTTCTATTAGTCCACGTGAACGGATCACCAAGGAAGCCCCGGTCATGGAGCCCTAAGTCCTGGATAAAATCCCTTAGACTAACTGACTGAGCTACATTCCAAGGATTACCACCATCTTTTTCACTCATATGAAGGGTAGTGTTAAAATCGCCGATGATCACATAAGGAAGCGTAAGGGCGGAACAAAAATCCCGAAGGTGAGCCAACTGGGTTGTTCGAACAACAGAATTGCAGCTAATATAAACACAAATCACAATATAAGAAAAATTATCTTCATTAATCTGAGAGCAAATACAGAAATCAGAATGATAAAACACCGAAGCATCAACTCCGGGGGACCAAGCTACTTCAAGACCACCAGATGCATCAACCGCATCCACATAAAAACAATGAGAATTATCAAAACCTAGACCCCGCATACGACGGGACACAACACGCCGGCTCGATCGTGTTTCAGAAAAAATCACAAGATCCGGTTTATTAGAACGAACTAAATCTACAATAGTTTGGAATGTGAGGGACGGCCCAATCCCTCTCACATTCCAGGCTAGAAGCCTCATTTATCAGACTGGGGCCACTCTAGGCTGGCTTCCTCCACCTTTTCTTTGTCATAACCATCAGCAGATTCCACAAAGTGCTTCTTTGGCGTTGGAGGGGATTCAACTTCACCCTCTACAGCTTCCAAGGAGCGTTTACGGGATACAAACACTGGGCTTGTCATATTTGACCCATATTCATCAAATACCTCAGCCCCCGGTTTCTGTATCCCGTCCCTCGGTACATTAACTCTTGTCTCACCACCTTGGACATCGAGCGGGGGCAGCTGTCTCATGCACAATATCCAACCCTGCTTCAAACGCTGCAACAACCTGGGAGACTTTGCCCACCATGCCCTGCACACACTCCACCGAGGAAGGCAGCGGGGCACGTTTTCTTATTTCAAAACATTGATTATCAACATCCATCCCCGACTCCTCTGAGGCACTCGTCTCCTGGGCCACATTATCTATCAAAGTGACAACTGTATTACCCGAAGGTAAGCTTACACCAGCACCCTTTTCCCCATTATTTTCATTATAATTTGATGTTGCAAGGCCGAGTGACGTAGGGTGGGAATCAGCCCTCGCGCCACCCTGAGCATGACTTCCCTCGCCATGCAAACCACGTCCCTTCTTGTGCTTCCTAGCATCCCGACGTTGCAGCCCTTTGTCCGCGACCTGATTCCCTTCACTTCCAACGACCTGCTTTTCCAAGGTGGTCGCCGTATCCATCTTGAGGGTGTTGCGCCGCAAACGGAGCTTCTTCCCCGGCTTGGGGTTGCCGGGCAATGGAGCCAGCCCCTTGTCATCCTGTTCCGAAATCACAGGAGGCACCAGGTCACTCGACGGGTGGAGGGGGATTTTACACTCTCTCAGCAGGGACGGAACTCCCATGTCATCATCAGAATCTTCCTCCAGGATGAGCCGCTGACGTCGAGACGACTCCAAAGTTTCAGCTTGCACTCCGGCCGCTTTAGGAGACGTCTCCAGACGATATGGTCTCTGGTTAGGAGGCCTTCGCAAAACCTTCTTCCCGCGGGGACCCGGGTTGTCAACCTCCTTGTTTGATGTCCTCCGCTTCTGCTTCCCCCCTCCCCCACCAAATTTCATCTTGGGAGTTCGATTCAGTGCAAAGCCCCTGGGACTATGGCGACGCACAGGTGACCGCTCCAGCTCCCTAGTCACCTGCCTCTCTTCCAAAGATCGAGCATCCCTACCCGGGCCAGCTGGGACAGTCCCATCACTCTGGGGTCGTAATTGGTCCGATGAGTGGGAACGATCCATATCCCCATTTACAGTGGAGGGCTTCGGCCATTTATCAGCCTCCATGCCAGGCCTTTGACGATTAATTCCAAACCGAGCTCCTAGGTCCCCCAATTGTCATCGATTGATCATCGTCATCATAAATTTGACGACCCAATTTCTTGGTCGCCATATGAGGACCTAATCGTTCCTTTCCTTTTGGCGGGTCGAAATCACAGTCCCTTCGAGCATGGCCCACTCGACCACAGTGGAAACAGAAGCTGGGCAGAAATTCGTATTTGAGGCTCACCCAGAATTGATCGGTTTCCTCACTGACCGCCATCAATTGAGATCGAAGAGGCTTAGCAAAACCAACCATAGCCCGCACTTTGATAAAGTGCTCGCTTGTCTAAGTCGAGACAAAGAGACCTGAATCAAGAACTTGACCAATAGTAGCGGCTATAAATTTTTGACCAAACAGCTTGGTGCGACAATCATCTCGCACTCCCCAGAGTTGGATTCGAAAAGGAGCCCTAGACATCCCCTCAAACTGCTGTTCGGTGATAGTTGGAGACCAGGCGCGGAGGGTGAGTAGCTTATCCTTTATAATCCAAGGGGTACGTGCTAACGCCCATTTTTTTGCTTCCTCATTCGGCAGTTCGATCTCATACAGGCCATACTTGGTACTCGAGACCTTGAGATGGCCGCGGAGTTTCCAGGCATCAAGCAGCCCCTCCCGCAGCTCCATCGTCGTCATCTGCTCGTTGGTAAATAGTCTCCCCAGGATGGTGCCAGACGCTCGAAACTTGGTTGATTGTACCTCCTCCAAGGAAAACTGGACAACTTGTTCATCGGCGACGTGTTTCATCATCCTCTGACCCTGCAAAAAGACGAACAAAACGGGTTAAGAAACGTCCCTGACCCCCCTAGCAGCCCTTCTACCGAGACTAGGAAACTCGATCCCAGGAGAGAAGGGTACTGCGTCACAGGAGGAATGGCGGAATCAGCTGGGAGGACCGATGATGGCACAATCTCAACGCTATCTCCTGTACCTGGACTTTCCTTTGCAACGAGGCTTAAAGACGAGGGCAACGCAGGAGAGCTACCTCAACTTTTTCTTTGAAAGAAAGGTAGGGATATTCTCCCCATCAATAAGGAGTTAAATACAACTCCTTTACCCCGTTCCAGTATATCTCGCGAAGAAGGGAGTTTAGTACGAGTAGGATTTCGACTTGGACACGGACTCCCCCCCTGGTAGGGCACGTGAGGATTTTTTCCTTGTGTATCCGGTGAAATCGATCATAACTATACTCCCTCAACAATCCCGCAAAATCAGGGATAGATTTCGCTCCAACCGTGGGCAGTCGGTTTTCCAACGGCACACGGGTCTGTCCAATGGATTGCTCCGGCGGCGGCCGCACAATCACGCCGGCGATCTCATTCACCGGCTGCGTACCCTGCCGGGCGACCCACCCCTCACTTGCCGACTCAGGGCCGATCGGGTCAGCAGAATCCCTATTCAGGACAGTACATGAATTAATAGAAAAAATCGGCTTGGATAACAGCGGATCATCATCGCCTACCAAATCCGACGATGAGGGGAGCCAAAATCTCCACCCTCTGATACGACTCAACCTGCATCTTTTTGCAGGCCTGCGGTTGACTAAGGGATAGCTAGGCGATGGATATTCATCTTCCCTCTGCTGAACCCTCTTTCGTTTATTTAGCCCCTTTGTGTGGATCACAAAGTTTTGGGTCGGGAATCGATTTCCCAAACCTATTCCGGCCACCAGCGGCTCCTTCCTTGCTACGCGCCAGTCAGCCTGGCGCCTACCTTGAGCATACTTCACCCAAATCTCTTTCGATTTCCTCAGCCCTTCATCTTCTTTGTTTGCCAAGCTACGCAGCAATAAGGAGGCGAGGATCCTAAGCAACCAGCTGCCCAGCCACTGGGACAATCCCAAGAACGAGGAGAGAGCTCCTCGTAGCATTTTTTTTTGAAAATAGTTGTATGTTATCACTCGCACTGTGAGGAGATTGTTTCACGCAATTAGTAGGTTGTCGTGCAGGGGTGCGAAAAAAATTAATACGCTAACTTACGATTCGTTAGCATATACTAATAGATATCCAAAAGTATGAACTAGTATTCAAATCTATTGCTTTTGTGAAGTAGTACTAAAGTATATAGAAGAAGAAAATTGAGAGTATTGTAACCTCTTTCCAGACGCTCCGAGGATTGCGGATCTCGCAGACGATCTTAGGCAAAAGCTAGGGTTTGCACGCAAGCTATGAGTGCCGCCGGCAAACAGCCGGTGGCCTCGCTGGCGGTGGCAGGCCAACAGGCTGACCAGGCGGTGGTCTCTTCACCTGTACATCCTACAAAACGACCGAAAATGCAAAACGATCAGGGTTTTTCGGGAGAGGGCTCGATGGCGGAGGGCACAGACCAAAAGCAAGCGGCGATAGAGACAGGTAACTTGACGGCCAATGCAAAGACGACTACTGTGCATGGAGAGTCAACCCTACCCGAAGGGAGGAGAGCGGAGATTCCACAAAAAAGTTCGGATGCTCAAAGCACTATATCTATATCGTACAAGGATAAGGTTATGGGAGCATCAACTGAGCATCCGACTGAAATCGAGGACGAAGAAGAACAAGATGTGATGGATAGTGATAGCGAAGGGGAACCGGACTGCCCTACAGTACGATTTCCAAAGGGCTTCAACAATCGTCGAGGTAAACGTTGGAGGCTCGCCCTTATTGTGAGGGTATTGGGACACTCGTTTCCCTTCTTTTTCATTCAACGTCGACTCCAAACAATGTGGGCATGCACTGGACCAGAAATCTTTCAGGATTACGGGCCTTGGATGATAGCTACCAGCAACCGTCATCGCCGAACTAATGGTAACCAGAAAGGGGTGAACTCGGGAACCACCCAAGAGGCAGCGGGTATTCGACCCCCCTCCGGATCTCGTTTTGCGGCCCTTGAGTCTCTGAATGATGAGCTACGTGAGAATGTGACGATTTTGGAAAAGGCTACCAGGAGTTCTGAGCAAGAGGTTGCAGCTGAGGTCACCACAGCAGAACAGTCAGGAAAGGAGGCATCATGCAAGGGCAACATGAGACCCAAGGGAGGTGATGGACCAATCACTACTGAGAAATCCCAGATGACTGTGAACTCTACAGGGGCAAACAAGGGGAAGGAAACTGATAAGATGGGCACCACCGCCCAAGCTAGGGTGAAAGAGCCCAGTATGAGTCAAACCAAGAAGAACACCAGAGACAAGGCAGTAGGGGGACAATAGAAGGAGAAGAACAAGACAGGGGTCAGGCAAGAAAGCGCAAAGCAGGGGCCCAAACAGACTTTAGGGAATAAGAGTACTCCAACGAAGACTCTGGCGGGACAGGATACTGCAAAAGTAGCAAAACCACCGGAAATAGCTACTAAACCTGTTGCCCGCAGCCTCGACCTTAACCTCGATGTGGACCTTTCCCTAAGAGAGCAGTATGTGACCCAGGAAAATCCCTTAGCGGCTAATTCAGCTAAGCCTACTGGGATGGACGTGAAAACCAATTGAGCTCCCTACGCTCAGGGAGTTCTCGTGCCTTTTCTTTGCGTCTTGTTGTTTTTCTTCACTCATTGTTCTTTATGGTTAATGTCTTTGCGTGGAACTGTAGGGGTGCTGCTGTCCCCAATTTTTTACTTTATTTTCGTGAATTTAACAGGATACACCATCCCAACCTGGTCTTCATCACTGAGCCGAAGATTAGTGGATCGGAAGCAGAGGGAGTGATTCATAAGATGGGTTTTGATAGCAACCGGAGGGTCGAAGCTCAAGGATTTGCAGGAGGAATATGGGCCCTATGGAACTCGAATGAGCTAACTCTTTGTGGTGAGTACGGAACGGATCAACTCCTCCACCTCCACTTTCGGCTAACGTCGGGGGAGGAATGTGTGATCTCCTGTATCTATGGCTTGCCCCAACTGAGCACTCGACGTGGACTCTGGGAGACGATGAGAAGGCTAGTGAGTCAGATGGACCTCCCATGGCTCTTGATTGGAGACTTCAATGCCATGCTTGGACCGGAAGACAAACAAGGCGGAAGGGGCTTCAACATGGCGCCGAGTCGTGAGTTCCGTGAAGCTGTCGAAGACTGCAGCCTGTTGGAGATTGATTACTGTGGACCTCGTTTTACTTGGCATGGGGTGCAGGGACTCAAAGAACGGCAGGATCGAGCGGTGTGTAACGCACTTTGGTTGCAGCGGTACCCAGACACTATGACCCGGCATCTCTGACTCACTCGTACTGTCACTCTAGAAAATGGCCAAGTGTAACCACTTCCTAAACCGTAGTATAACGGGTTTGGGTTTTAATGTCAACTCGGGTCCTAGATGTGATGACTACTCAGCAAATTCTTATTATCTAGCAGTGAATCTTTAGTGCAGGTTCAATTAAGCAAACAAGCAAAGCAATTAAACGGTTGTTTCAAGTCAAGAGAGGTCACCCGGATATGGTTCCCCCTAGACTGTAGTTAAGCCGGATTGCAATTTACCAAGTTCAGTTTCAATGATAGTTATACTGCGGGAGGTTCTTAAACAGTCTGAAGTCTCGACTAAAGGTCTCCAGACCCTCTCAATCTGAGTCTCCAGCGGGCGACTAACCTCCACCGGAGTAAACAGATTGAGGCCCTAACGAACAAAACCTCCACTACCGAAGTAAATTCGGTACAAAATAGTGAACTGGCTCCTCGACTAAAGTCGCCAATTCACTACCTTCAATTAAGGGTGCTCTATCAACCTAGGCATATATTCTCTTTCTAGGTTAATGCAGAAACAACAGGAATTTGATCAGGATTCAAGTCATTCAATCATTCAAGCCACAATTGAATATAATCAAATCATAAAACCCGTACTTGGGTTCATACAATCAGACCTAACATACAAATATAGGTTTCTCCATACCCAGATGAATGGGAAAACTACTCCATGGAGAGAGAAGCAAAAGCAGATTCAGATGCGGAAACCATATTGTGAATGATGGGTTTCTGCTCCTGGTCGTCAATCAGCACTTCTCCAAGCTCAAGCCGGGCTCCAATGGTGATGAAGATCAAGCTAGGGCACTTGGGAACTCTGGTTCGTCACTTTCTCTCTCTAAAACTCGGAACCCCCTTCTCCTTTGGCTCAAATTTGCCTAAAAGGCCGACCCTGGGCAAAACACGATCGAGGGCACGGCGGTGCTTTGGTTTTGCCCCGTGTTAAAAACACGCCCGCGTCGGCCAAAACACGGTCGTGCCTAAATATGGACACGGCCGTGTTTTGCTTTAGGCGTGCCCGTGTTTTGCTTTTCCATCAGTTCAGCTCTCGGCAATAAAAACACTGGCGTGCCTGTTTGTGTACACGGTCGTGTTTTGGTTTAGGCAAGCCCGTGCTTTGGCCCCAGCTCGAGCGAATGACTTCCAAATGCCCCGAAACTCGTGCTTAGCCTTTCCTTCGACGTCTGGAACCTGAAATATGATAAAGTAGCAAAACCCGGCGTAAAACGGGCAAAAAATATACGACTACTAGCAGCTAACAGATAAGAACTAAGGGCGCAAACATGTGCAAATACATCGTTATCAAATTCCCCCACACTTAATCGTTTGCTTGTCCTCAAGCAAACCTAATTCAAACCAATGCAACTCTCCAGACCTCTATAGCAACAAACAACCCCGATCGTCGGTAGAGGATTTTCTAGATCATAGAGCAGCTTAAAGAGGTCAACTGGTCTTCTAAGACGTTCCCTATCTCTCTCAATGCGAGTACTAGACTCAACCCATGATCATGAGAAGAAGTAGAAGTAAGACAGTGAGTTCATGGATAAAGGGACTCACACCATTCACAATCAAGGACTCGTTGTACTGGGGTGCTCTTTCACTTCATTTCACCGTTGGAACCCCTTTTTCACTTTCATTTTACTTTTTTCTCTTTTTTTTTTCATTCACTTAGCGGGGGTTCCAACTGCAGTCTTTTGCACGGTCGACCCTTATTAGTTGAGCAAGAGCAATTTCTGTACATCTGGCGCTCGCCAGAGTATTTCTTTTAACTCCTTTTCCTCAACTTGTGTGGAGGGTCAATGAAATCAAGGGGGGTCGGAAGCTCTATCCGTGCCCTTAAAAACACATCCTCAAGTAGGCAAACCGTTTAACGGGTGGAAGTTTTACTTGTACTAGAGACGGCTTAGCTTCACCTTGTAGGAGTACCCCACTAAGGATCACTAAAATCTCTTCCAAGACCCGATTTTGTGCAATGAACGGTGCCGCACACGTTGGGCTTACCCCATGTTTAAGATTTAAAGATTTTGACATGGAGGACCAACTGCATTTCATTTTTCACATGGGCACCCTGTTCGATACACGAGTCCATAACACAATCCAAATAGAGTCAACATTATCACATGAATTCAACAGTCCAAGCTCCACTCACTACAACAAATTCGTCCTATTATGACAAAACAATTTTGTCATATTAGATACTAATTTTGTCATAGTAGCTATAATATGACAAAAGGTGTTGTCACAAAGGTTTGTCATTTTATCGCCGTCAGGATAGGTCAAATGTGACAAAAAATTTAAACAAGATTGTCACATTTGCTTTTAGTATAACTGAGGTTCTGGGTAGTCTATTGTGACAAACATAGATGTTATGACGACATATTTTGTCATTACAGTTGTCATAATCTGGTGATTTTGAGAGAATTGTTTGTCATATTACACGATTATATTTTGTCATAACTGTATATTGTGACGGCTGCATTTTGTCATAAGTGTAGACAAGGATATTAATTTTCCATCGATCGTGCCCAACTCACAAATCCAAATTCATAAACAGGAACTCACAAATCCAGCAAATCTTTGTCATCACAATTTTTTCTTCAATCACAAACCCAGAAAATCATTCACAATCCTATAAGATTTTCACAAACCCAGAAAAGTTTCGCAAACCCAGAAAAGCTTTGCTAACCCAGCAATTGAAACCCTTCCAAACTAACCAAATCCAGAATTCCTCCTTCTCCTCCTCAAACACAGAATTGGAACCCCCAGAAAGTAACAAACACAAGAAAAAAAACGCATGCATCAGAATCCTTCTCCCACAGTGGCCGCTAGTCTCGCACCGAACCTTGTACTCGTTGATCTCCAACTGGCCTTAGACTAGTCAATCTCGGCCTTAGGCTCGTCAATCTTTGTCTCGGGCACCTTCTCCTCCTACCTCCGCAGCCTCACCCTCAGCCCCCACCTCGCTGAAACCCCTTCATCTGCCGAAGCAAAACCTAAAAAAAAAAAAAAAAAAAAATAGATTAAGCCAGACTGGTCCAATCAATGCTATCACTGGAACTCTCCGCCATCATGGGCTCTCGATCCGCCTGTCACCTCTTGAGCTCGGCGCCATCATCGCATGTCAATCTCTCCGCCCGTCGCCACTCGATCTCTCCACCCCTTGCATCTCGATCTCTCTGCCATCGTTGCCGGATCTCGGCAATCGTTGCCCTCTCAATCTCTCTCTCAGCGTCGCTGGTTATCGCAACAGGAGGCAGCTAGCGGCGGTCTTTTTGAGAGAGGAAGGAAGAGATGAAAGCTTCGTCGTCTTTGAGTGTAGAGGAGTAGGTGAAGGGTCGTTTTTTTAGAGAGAACGAAGAAGGGGAGAAAAGAAGGAAAGTTTAAAAGGGGAAGAAAGAGTAAATGGGGTGAGATAAAAGAGGGAAGAGGGGCGAATGTTTAATTTGAAATTTTAGGGTAAGGGGAATTTTTTAATGGTGAGAAGGGGGAATTTTCAAATTTTTATGGGGAAAGTTTTGGCGGAAAAGGAAATTTTTGGAGCCATAAATTTTGTTAGAAACGGGCGATTAAAAATTGGAGCCATAAATTTTTAGGGACGGTTGAAAATTGGGCGAGACTTAAATTTTTATTGTGTGGTGATTTTTGATTTTGTTTTTTTTTATGCTGAACACAAGCAAATATGACGAAAATGACTTTTGTCAAAAACGAAACCATTATATTATGACAAACATGCCTTTTGTCAAAGCCGGAACCACTATATTATGACGAACACGCCCTTTTGATAGCTCCTCGTGGGATTATTTCTATCTATTGTGACAAAACACTTTGTCATTTAAACAATTTAGGAATGCATAATATGACAAAAGCTACTCTCACGATATAATTTGTCACTTTTGTGTATCTTACATTCTGATATGGGATGTCTATTGTGACAAATTTAATTATGACACCAAATATTTGTCACATCACTCAGTTTAAATGACGAATTATTCTGACAACAATTTTTTTTGTCACATTAGACATACCAAATATGAAATCTATTATTTTTGTCATATCAACGTACCTATTGTGACAAATAAAAAATGACAAAATAAATTTTTTGTCCTAATAGGCCAAATCTGTTGTAGTGACTAATTCACAAAATCAACTAGCACAGCAGAGAGCTAGATAGGAAAAATCTTATACTTCAACATCCTCCATAGAGCTACACTACCTCCCTAGGTTGCACATTACTATAGAGACTGTCAACTCAAAGCATACTAAGCAGGCAATTTGCAAGGAAACACGTACTTGGAGCCCTCAAATTTAAAAATTTGGACAGTGGACTAGGCTCCAAGCACTCAAACAGATCTAATGCAGTCAAAAGAGAAACATCTCTAAAGCGTAGTATAGCGGGTTTGGGTTTTAATGTCAACCCGGGTCCTAGATGTGATGACTACTAAGCGAATTCTTATTATCTAGCAGTGAAACTTTAGTGCAGGTTCAATTAAGCAAACAAGCAAAGCAATTAAACAGTTGTTTCAAGTCAAGAGAGGTCACCCGGATATGGTTCCCCCTAGACTGCAGTTAAGCCGGATTGCAATTTACCAAGTTCAGTTTCTATGATAGTTATACTGCGGGAGGTTCTTAAACAGTCTGAAGTCTCGACTAAAGGTCTCAAGACCCTCTCAATCTGAGTCTCCAGCGGGCGACTAACCTCCACAGGAGTAAACAGATTGAGGCCCTAAAGAACAAAACCTCCACTACCGAAGTAAATTCGGTACAGAATAGTGAACTGGCTCCTCGACTAAAGTCGCCAATTCACTACCTTCAATTAAGGGTGCTCTATCAACCTAGGGATATATTCTCTTTCTAGGTTGAAGTAGAAACTACAGGAATTTGATGAGGATTCAAGTCATTCAATCATTCAAGCCTCAATTGAATAAAATCAAATCATAAAACTGTACTTGGGTTTATACAATCAGACCTAACATACAAATCTAGGGTTCTCCATACCCAGATGAATGGGAAAACTACTCCATGGAGAGAGAAGCAAAAGCAGATTCAAATGCGGAAACCATACTGTGAAAGATGGGTTTCTGCTCCTGGTCGTCAATCGGCACTTCTCCAAGCTCAAGCCGGGCTCCAATGGTGATGAAGATCAAGCTAGGGCACTTGGGAACTCTGGTTCATCGCTTTCTCTCTCTAGGCATCGCTCTGTCTCTCTAAAACTCGGAACCCCCATCTCCTTTGACTCAAATCTGCCTAAAAGGCCGACCCTGGGCAAAACACGGTCGAGGGCACGGCCGTGCTTTGGTTTTGCCCGCCCGTGTTTTGCCCCGTGTTAAAAACACGCTCGCGTCGGCCAAAACACGGTCGTGCCTAAATATGGACACGACCGTGTTTTGCTTTAGGCGCACCCGTGTTTTGCTTTTCCATCAGTTCAGCTCTCGGCAATAAAAACACTGGGGAGCCTGTTTGTGTACACGGCCGTGTTTTGGTTTAGGCAAGCCCGTGCTTTGGCCCCAGCTCGGCCGAATGACTTCCAAATGCCCGGAAACTCGTGCTTAGCATTTCCTTCGACGTCTGGGACCTGAAATATGACAAAGTAGCACAACCCAGCGTAAAATGGGCCAAAAATACACGACTACTAGCTGCAAACGGATAAGAACTAAGTGTGCAAATACATCGTTATCAAATTCCCCCACACTTAACCGTTTGCTAGTCCCCAAGCAAACCTAACTCAAACCAATGCAACTTTCCAGACCTCTATAGCAACAAACAACCCCTATCGTCGGCAGAGGATTTTCTAGATCATATAGCAGCTTACGAGGTCAACTGGTCTTATAAGATGTTCCCTATCTCTCTCAATGCGAGTACTAGACTCAACCCAGGATCATCAGAAGAAGTAGAAGTAAGGCAGCCAGTTCATGGATAAAGGGACTCACACCATTCACAATCAAGGACTCGTTGTACCGGGGTGCTCTTTCACTTCATTTCACTGTTGGAACCCCTTTTTCACTTTCATTTTACTTTTTTTCTCTTTTTTTCATTCACTTAGCGGGGGTTCCAACTGCAGTCTTTTGCACGGTCGACCCTTATTAGTCGAGCAAGAGCAATTTCTGTACATCTGGCGCTTGCCAGAGTACTTCTTTTAACTCCTTTTCCTCAACTCGTGTGGAGGGTCAATGAAATCAAGGGGGGTCGGAAGCTCTATCCGTGCCCTTAAAAACACACCCTCAAGTAGGAAAACCGTTCAACGGGTGGAAGTTTTACTTGTACTAGAGACGGCTTAGCTTCACCTTGTAGGAGTACCCCACTAAGGATCACTAAAATCTCTTCCAAAACCCGATTTTGTGCAATGAACGGTGCCTCACACGTTGGGCTTACCCCATGTTTAAGATTTAAAGATTTTGACATGGAGGACCAACTGCATTTCATTTTTCACATGAGCACCCTGTTCGATACACGAGTCCATAACACTATCCAAATAGAGTCACCATTATCACATGAATTCAACGGTCCTAGCTCCACTAATTCACAAAATCATATGGCACAGCAGAGAGCTATATAGGAAAAATCTTATACTTCAACATCCTCCATAGAGCTACACTACCTCCCTAGGTTGCACATTACTATAGAGACTGTCAATTCAAAGCATACTGAGCAGACAATTTGCAAGGAAACACGTACTTGGAGCCCTCAAATTTAAAAATTTGGACAGTGGACTAGGCTCCAAGCACACAAACAGATCTAATGCAGTCAAAAGAGAAACACCCCCCCACACTTAAGATCGACATTGCCCTCAATGGAGAAGAGGAAAGGATAAAGGGGAACGATGTTACCGGTTTGCACGGACTAGATGAGACGGGAAGCGGACCAGTCTGTGTGAAGAGGACTGGAGAGGGGACCAGTCAGGGACAACGCACAGCTAAAGGGAACAGAAGAACTCAAACACAATCCGTTAGGTCCAATTGTTATCCCAATAATACATCATCCAAAACAAAAAGAAAACAAACCAAAACCAAACCAGTTTACAATCCGACCCAAAACAAAAGGAATAAATGAAAACCGTGGTGGGGTTGCCTCCCCACAAGCGCTTCTTTACCGTCTTTTAGCTGGACGCCCATGGTGGATACTCAGCGGGGTGCAGGAATAGGTGCCTCCAAGAGCGGATCCACATCGCTCTTGAGGTACAACTTCAAATTTTGGCCATGCACCCGACGGGTGCGACCACCAGCATTGGTCAGTTCGACCTGGCCATCCGGCAAGATGCAGGAGAGGGAGTACTCGGATGGCCAGGGTGGTCGTGGTGCAGGAGGTGGGACCAGCTCATAGTGGTCTCCACCTTTCTTCCGAGAAGGTTTAGCCACCTGCGGCTTCGGCCGCCACTCCTCCTTGAGCTTTTTATTGGGAAGTGAGGTTGCCGGGAGTGGCGGGGAAGGCGTGAGAGGGGGGTCCTGCAAAATGAGATGCACAGGGGGGTACAGGACAAGCTCGTGGACCTGGTGAGAAATAGCATGCATAGGTGTGACAGCAGGCATATCACAATGATCAAGGTCAGTCACAGAAAAAGTAGCATGTTCATTCCCAGCACGCAAGATCAGTTTACCACTATGCACATCAATTAGTGCCTTGGCGGTGGCAAGAAATGGTCTACCTAAAATCAAAGGCACATCCACATCCTCATTTATATCCAGAACAACAAAATCAACAGGATATGTGAATGCGCCTACTTTAACAAGCAAATCCTCTATGTTACCCCTAGGATGCACAATAGAGCGATCAACTAACTGAATGCTCATCCTAGCAGGGCTAAGTTCACCTAGGTCTAGCTTTTTAAACAGATTGTATGACATGACATTTATGCTAGCGCCTAGGTCCGCCAAGGACTTCTCTATATGCATGCTGCCAATATTAAGAGGGATAGTGAAACTCCCTGGGTCCTTGCGCTTTACGGGCAGCTTGTTCTGCAAGATGGCAGAACACTCCTCGCTCAGCATCACTGTCGAAAGATCCCCAAGTTTCTTCTTGTTGCTGAGGAGATCCTTCATGAACTTGGCGTACTTGGGCATCTTCGACAGTGCCTCCATGAAGGTTATGCTGACATCGAGATACTTCAACATTGCCATGAACTTGGCAAACTCAGTCTCCAGCTTATCTTTATGTAGTCGAGTGGGGAAGGGAAGCTGGGGTACATGCTCCTTAGCCACTGGTTGTGGCTTGGGAGCAGGGGCTTCCTTCTCCATCCTCACTTCTACATCATCGGCTGGAAGTGCTGAAGCAGGCAGTGGCTCTTCCTCCCTAGCCCGCGAAGGTACCGCCGATGTGGACTTGCCACTCCTGGTGGTGATGGCATTCAGTTGCTGGTGCGGCTCCCATGGATTGGGGATGGTAGTGGCAGGTAGAGTTCCCGGGGCCCGGGTATTAATTTGGCGAGCCATGCTACCCATCTGGTTCTGTAAATCTTGCAAAATGGCACCTTGGTTCCTCTGACCTGCCTCTAGTGAGGCTATGCTCTGGTCCATCCTCGTGACAGTTGCCTGGGTGGTACTCATGAATGCCGCTAGAATGTTTTTCAGCTCCGTAATCTGATTATCTGGAGCCGGAGCTGCTGCTGGCTCGGCATACTGACGCTGGGGCTGCTGGAATGGTTGCCCCTGCCTAGGCTGGTAGGGCTGCTGTTGTGGGGCTGGCCCCTGTCGAGCCTGGAAAGGCTGCCTCTACTGAAAACCACCAGCTGGTGCTGGGAAACCAGATGGTTTAGTGGTGTTGCTACTCCAAGAGAAATTGGGATGCTGGCGCCACCCCTTGTTGTATGTATTGTTGTACGAGTCGAGGCGCCGAGCATTGGCGATGAAGTCCAACTGCTCTTGGGGGGTAGAAGACTCCCTCATAGCCTGGCAGTCTTCCACTAGATGATTTGAGCTCTCACACCACTGACATTGAGCTACTGGAGGTGTAGCCAAACCTCTGCCCGGAATAAGACTGTTAGGCTGCTTCAATGTCTGCACTAACTCGGCTACCTATTGCTCGAGCCCGGAACTGGCCTTCATGGCGTCCACACCACGGTCCCGGGAATTTTTGCCTCTACTGATCTGCCCCCAGGAATGATCTCTGGCAGCCAAGGTACTGATCATCTGGTTCAGTTCGGGTGGAGTCTTAGTAAGAATATCCCCTCTTGGGCATAGAGACTCAATCACCCTCTGGCTGTCCGAAGAGAGGGCACTGTAGAAGTTCCCCACTGTGAATGCATCACTGAAGCCATGATGGGGACACTGCCATAAATATCCCATGTACCGCTCCCATGCATCACGAAGTGACTCGTCTGGCTCTTGGCGGAAGTGAGTGATCTCCCGCTGGATCTCTGTGGTCTTTGATGCTGGATAGTACCTGTGCACAAACTTGTCGGCCAGATCGTCCCAAGAAGTGATGGACAATGGAGGCTGGGTCTCCAACCACCTCTTAGCATTCCCCGCCAGAGAATTGGGGAAGAGGTGAAGGCGGATTGCATCATCAGGGACACCGTTTAGCTTGAACCTGTTCGTCAGCTGCAGAAAACGGGAAAGATGCACCCTTGCTTCCTCATCCTTCAAGCCATGGAACTGGATAGAGGATGTAATGAGTTGAATCCAGGATGGCTTAATCTCGAAGTTGTTCGCTGGAATAGGCGGGTAGAGAATGACCGGGCGGATATCAGCAATCCGTGGAGTGTAGTAGTACTCCAAGGTGAGACCCGACGGCGGTGGATGATGATGACCCCCATCTGCCTGGGGTATGGGGTTGTTCCCCAAGATCTGATTCGCCGGGGGGAACCTGGTGAGGATTCCCCTGGTGTGGATTGTGATCTCCATCCATCTCGTACTCATCCTCGGACTCGCTGCTCAAATGGCCGTCTATGCGCTCCTCCGTAGCCAGTCTAGCTCGCTGTTATCTCCTGAGTTGGCGACAGGTGCGTTCAAGCTTCGGATTCAACGGCAGTAAACCTCACGACTGGCTACGGGTCATGCAATACCTGCACACAGTCAAGCAAGCAAACCCAAGAAGGCACTAGTGGGACAAAGCAAACAATGCGAAAAGAAAAGCTAAATTAACAGAATTCACGTTTCTTCAACAACCTAGCCGTCCCCGGCAACGGCGCCAAAAACTTGACTCAATCCTACTGTCACTCTAGAAAATGGCCAAGTGTAACCACTTCCTAAAGCATAGTATAGCGGGTTTGGGTTTTAATGTCAACCCGGGTCCTAGATGTGATGACTACTCAGCGAATTCTTATTATCTAACAGTGAAACTTTAGTGCAGGTTCAATTAAGCAAACAAGCAAAGCAATTAAACGGTTGTTTCAAGTCAAGAGAGGTCACTCGGATATGGTTCCCCCTAGACTGCAGTTAAGCCGGATTGCAATTTACCAAGTTCAGTTTCTATGATAGTTATACTACGGGAGGTTCTTAAACAGTCTGAAGTCTCGACTAAAGGTCTCCAGACCCTCTCAATCTGAGTCTCCAGCGGGCGACTAACCTCCACCGGAGTAAACAGATTGAGGCCCTAACGAACAAAACCTCCACTACCGAAGTAAATTCGCTACAGAATAGTGAACTGGCTCCTCGATTAAAGTCGCCAATTCACTACCTTCAATTAAGGGTACTCTATCAACCTAGGCAGATATTCTCTTTCTAGGTTAAAGCAGAAACAACAGGAATTTGATCAGGATTCAAGTCATTCAATCATTCAAGCCTCAATTGAATATAATCAAATCATAAAACCTGTACTTGGGTTCATACAATCAGACCTAACATACAAATCTAGGGTTCTCCATACCCAGATGAATGGGAAAACTACTCCATGGAGAGAGAAGCAAAAGCAGATTCGGATGCAGAAACCATACTATGAAGGATGGGTTTCTGTTCCTGGTCGTCAATCGGCACTTCTCCAAGCTCAAGCCGGGCTCCAATGGTGATGAAGATCAAGCTAGGGCACTTAGGAACTCTGGTTCGTCGCTTTCTCTCTCTAGGAATCGCTTTGTCTCTCTAAAACTCGGAACCCCCTTCTCCTTTTGCTCAAATTTGCCTAAAAGGCCGACCCTGGGCAAAACACGGTCGAGGGCACGACCGTGCTTTGGTTTTGCCCCGTGTTTAAAACACGCCCGCGTCGGCCAAAACACGGTCGTGCCTAAATATGGACACGACCGTGTTTTGCTTTAGGCGCGCCCGTGTTTTGCTTTTCCATCAGTTCAGCTCTCGGCAATAAAAACATTGGCGTGCCTGTTTGTGTACACGGTCGTGTTTTGGTTTAGGCAAGCCTGTGCTTTGGCCCCAGCTCGACCGAATGACTTCCAAATGCCCTGAAACTCGTGCTTAGCCTTTCCTTCGACGTCTGGGACCTGAAATATGACAAAGCAGCACCTGGAAGCCTGGAATCGTGAGTTTTTTGGCAACATCTTCTTTAGGAAACGAAAGCTGTTAGAGAAGTTGCAGCGGCTAGAGTTGAGAAATGAAATGTATCCTACTGCCCAACGAATTAAAGAGGAAGAGCTAACTTGAACACAACTGCATGAGGTCTTGAAACAGGAGGAGGTGTTGTGGTACCAGAAATCCAGGCAACTGTGGTTCACCAAAGGAAACTGTAACACAAGGTTCTTCCATATCTCCACCCTCAAGCGGCATAGTTTCAATAGAATCCGCAGACTGAAAGCCGATGACGGGCGATGGGTTGAGGAGGAAGAGGAGCTCAAACAGCTAGTTCGTGCATTCTATGTTAGCCTCTTCACAGCTTGCCATACCATGCCGGATATCCTTCCGGCTTACTTCCCAAGCCTCGAGGAGAGTGTGGACTACTTGGAGTTGGACATTCATCCGATGGAAGTATTAGCCGCAATCAAGTCTATGGGATCAAATAAAGCGCCAGGGAAAGATGGCTACCAGCCACTCTTCTTCCAACGTTGCTGGGAGACAGTTGGTGAAGTTTTTTCGGGATTCATTGCGCAGTGCTTCAGGTTCCCAGATAGGGTGTCTCAAATAAACGCCACCTTGTTGGCGCTCATCCCGGAGAAACAGAACCCCTCCTCAGTGTCTGAGCTTAGGCCCATCAGCTTGTGCAACGTTTCCTACAAAGCGTTGACCAAATGCTTGGAAAATAGGTTGAAGCCGCTGATGCCGAAACTGATCAAGCCAAACCAGACAAGCTTTGTGCCCGGGCGCAGCATCCAGAACAACATCATCATACTACAGGAGGTGGTGCACACGATGCAGACGCGGAAAGGCAAAGTGGGTCACATGGTGCTCAAAATTGATTTGGCTAAGGCGTATGACAGGCTAGATTGGTCATTCATTGCGACCACGATGGTAGCCGCTGGCCTTGCCGAGAAGTTCATGCAAGCAACGATGAGCTGTATTACCACGCCTTCCTTTGAGGTACTTTGGGGTGGCAGCGGTACGGAACCCTTCACCCCGACGAGGGGTCTACGACAGGGCTGCCCCCTCTCGCCTTATATATTTACCTTGTGCATTGAACGTCTCTCTCATCTTATACAGGACTTGGTTCAACGGAAAGTTTGGTGACCCATCCAGCTCGAAAGAGGAGGTGTGGAACTAACTCATCTTTTCTTTGCCGATGACTTAGTTTTGTTTGCAGAGGCAAGTTTGGAACAAGCAGATATGATCCTAAAGTGCCTGAATGACTTTTGTGGCGCCTCGGGTGAGCTGGCCAGTCGTGACAAGTCGAGGATCTTCTTCTCCAAAAATATGAAAAGGGAAGTTTGCAAGAGTACAAGTGATAAGTTGGCTATCCCAATGACGGAAGACTTGGGACGCTACCTTGGGGTTCCGGTACTCCACGGGCGTATCACTAAGCAGACATACAAATACATAATGGATAAGATTGATCACCGACTTGCAGGTTGGAAAGCGGATAACCTTTCTCTTGCAGGTCGAGTGACTTTGGCCATGTCGGTGCTCAATACCATGCCGTCCTATGTGATGCAAACGGCAATGCTTCCCGCGAGTGTTTGTGACTATTTGGATCGCAAAATCCGAGCTTTTATTTGGGCTCCCAGCAGGGAAGACATCGCATCCATCTTATAAACTGGGAGACTATTTGCCTCCCAAAGAGCCAGGGAGGGCTGTGTTTGAGATCGGCAAGAGAACACAACGTACTTCCTAAAGCTAGCTTGGACTATTCTCAAGCACCCGGAGGAACTTTGAGTCCGAGTTCTCAAGGGAAAGTACCTGCGGGAAGGACCCGAAGGTGTGGAGCTGAGAAGACGAACCCGGTGCTCTCATCTCTGGTGCAGTGTGAGACGCATGTGGGGTACAATGCTGGATGGAACTCGGTGGAGTGTGAGAAATGACAAATCTACCATGTTTTGGTCCGATAAGTGGACGGACAGCGGCACGGTACTTGGAGAGTTTGCCCGCACGGAGGAGGAGGGATTCCAAGCACAAGCTATAGTGGCCAATATGACATTGGAAACTGGTGAGTGGGGACTTGAACTCATTGCTCGCTACTTACCTATGGATTTGCCACCTCCACGAGAACACCTCGGCGACGACGAGATTGTTTGGGGACTTGAAGAGAAGGGGAACTTCACAATCAAGTCCTCCTACCAACTGGCAGCGAATGACAGGTGGAAGAAG